AAATAATATTAAGTTATCAAGGATGCATGTATTTATTTATAAGTGTATCATTATGACCATTAGTGCTTCCATAGAAATAGGACTTTTTGGCATGATTTTTCTCTCATCATATTGTGGTAGCAAATTAATAGGAAACGTAGGCTATAATTTTTTTTCCCTTTTATGACTATGATTAATTTAAATACCACAAAATGGCTTTACCCTTCCAAAACCCTTAAGGTCATTTTTAGTTATAATCATTTTGAATATGATCGATAATTAATTTTAAGACTAAACTCTCATTTAGTTTCTGAGAGAGTTTGAGTCCAACATTTTAGTCCTTGAAAAATTTAAAATGTCACGTTAGTCTCTAACTTCCTTCTCCATCATTCATTTTAATTCATAATCTCAGATTCCATTAAGAAATAGTAAGTGAAAGTTGACTTGTTACTTTAAGTGGCATGTCAGAAGCCTAGTTGGCTGAAATGACATTATTTATTAAAGTGAATATGACAAAACACCTTTAATTGTTAAAAACAATGTCGTTCTTCAAGATTGTGAAGTGTCTTGTTTGGTCATATATAATTACATATTTTTTTCATTTGTCTCGAAGAAGAACCCTAAGTATATACGTAGAATCTTACCCAAATTCGTCTTCAAAGTTGTGTTTGGTGGTAGAATATTTAGAGATTGAAGTTTGTTATAATGGAAGAAGTAGAATTAGATAGAAAATTCAGTAAATTTTTTTTCTTAATCATCCTGTGAGTTTTTGGTTTAAAGGATGACAAACCCTAACTTTACACTTTTTGGGATGACAAACAACCTATAACATTCATTTCTAGCAGATCATCCTCTAGCTTAGAAATGCTTTCCAAGTCCCTACACAATTTTTTGATCTCATCCCTGTATTCAGAAACTGCAAAATCTTGCTTTTGCAAATCAGCCTTCAACTGTTCAATCTCTAAGTCCTTTTCATTTAGAAGACCTTTTAGATTGTCTCTACCTTGAACTAGCCATTTCCTTTCTTAACTGCCATGGACAATATATCCCTAAGCATGACAATCTTTTCCTCTTATCGTTCAAGATCCTGCAGCAGAGAATTCCTTTCTTCATTTATTGCTACAATTTTTTCAGATGCCATTTTGGACTCAGTTGATAGCTATATAGTGATATGTTTGGGCAAAGGGGTGCTTGGATCAAAATTTCGCAAAACAATGCTATTTTTTATAATTAAATGTGTTTTGTCACATTTACTTACCAAAATGACGTTGTTTCTGCCAAAAAAGCTTCTGACATGACACTTAACGTGACAAGTCAACTTTCTGTTATTGTTTCTTAACAGAATCTGAGATTAAGGAATAAAATGAATGACAGAGAAAGAAGTTAGGGACTAACTTGACATTTTAAATTTTTTAGGGACTAAAATGTTGGACTCAAACTCTCTCGGGGACTAAATTAAGGGTTTAGTCTTAATTTTAAATTTCTAACATACTATTTCGGAATAGAAATGTTATAAGGGATAAGTTCATAAATGTATGAAGTACACAAGAAAGAATGAGAGCTTATGGACGCTCAACTTGTAGGGGTGAACCAAGCAAGCATAATATATGCTTTTCTGGGGGAATGAGTTTACCCTTATATCTTGGCATATCTCTTTCTTGTAAGGGTAAACTCATTTAGTAAAATATTGCCCATGAGTTCCCATTTAGTAAAGAGTAAAGCGCGCTTAAAAGCTTTTTAAGTCAAATATTGCCTATGAGTTCCCATTTAGTAAAGTGCTCTTTCAACTTTGCCTGAGCGTCGTTCCTTCGCTCAAACGTATCAAGGAATGCTCATCTAAATACAATCATTTGTACTTTGCAACATCAATAAATTATGAAGTTTCATCCTCTCTCTTTATGTCATGCTTTGGGTTTGTGAACTTAGGGAGCACACTTATGAGAAGGCCTTTTTGAGAAGGTATCCTCCTTTCTTCTTTGTTATTCTCTGGGGAAGGTTATCCCACTTCTAAAGTATCAAAATGTGAAAGAGATAAAAAGTTCATTCATCTTTTATTCTTTTGTTCCTTATTTAGTTTGCTTTGCCTTACTATTCATCATTTTTCTTTTTATCTTTTCTTGTTTTTGGATGTTACTTCTCCTTATACTCTGACCTCCCTCGTCCAGTTCTAGGTGTATAGTCAGGATTAGGCTATCTGAGTGACGTTCTTATTTTGCCCAAATATGTCTTTCTCTCTATTCTCTTGTTCATAATGACTCCTTGTCTTCAATTAACAAGACCATGTTCAACTTCTCAGCTTTATATGATGGCTTCCTACCTGTGCATAGGATTGATCTTTCACTTTAGCCCTTTTGGACGTTGCTTGCTTAGATGAGTGCTCCGCTTCTTACTTCATTGTGTTGAAAGGCACCTTAGTTCCTTTCTCTTTCTTCACTTCTTTACATATATCATAATGTTTCCATTTTACCCTTATTTTTTTATTGAGTCCCCCAACACATACATACTATTTAAAGATTTAAACTAAAGTTTCAAAATTAATGATTCAAGCATTGAAAATAATATTTATCATTTTTTTAAGTCAAAAAATCATTAATATAATATTTAAAATTAGTTGTCAATGACATTTAAAATTGAACTGGAAAAAAAAAACTATTAGAAGGATTATTCATATTTGTTTACCATTATTAATCAGCTTATTTATATTAAAACATACTATAGTATATATTATTTATTAAGAGAGAAAAACATAAACAAATAGTAATTAAAAGTACGTCAATTTTTTTATAAATTATTAATTTTTATTTAATGCATATATTGATTTCAAATAAAAATGATACTCATTACATATTAACTTTTACTTATTTGTAAATTAGTTTTTCTTTTAAGCTTATTCTTTTAAGATATAAAATTTCCGATTGATAATATATTATTCATGCCATTAATATTAGCAAAATATACACTTAACTTATAGAAATATACACAACACAATATTTTAAATAGAATACTTGTAATTATTTTAATATAATTTTTAATTTTTATAGATGTTGAAATAATTTATAGGATGAAATAATAATTTTTATCATAAATAAGAAAAAAATAATAAAATTTGATTGCTATGAATTAACTAATTTCTTATTCATTAAAGTTTAATTAAAAATAATTGTTTTTTTTTTCTAAAGAAAAATTCATTTAAATGTGTTTGAATTAAAAAGTACATATTAAGGAGAAATTTATAAAAATATACAAATTTAAAATTTATTTTAACTTGAATTTAAATAAATATGCTTTTAGAAGCTTTTTATTTTATTTTATTGGTGATATTTTTTTGTTAAATTTTATATATTTTTTATTTTATTAATTAAATATTATTAAAATTGATGTATTTATTTTATACATTAATATATTATTTTTTTTATAATGTAACACTCTAAATTAAAAATAAAATTAAAATGTTAATACATTTAATATTTCATTCTGATAATTTGAGAAATTAAATATCAATGGAGTTTTTTTTTTCACAATTTTATCACATATATTACACGTATTTTTGTCAATTTTATTCTAAATTTAAAAAATTAAATTATTATTTTTAAATTTTTTATAGTGGCTTATATAAATTTTCAGATCTTTTAATATTTGTTTTTACTGTATATAATTTTTTTTAGTTGGGTAAAACAACTCTAGACGGTACATTTATAAAACTTATTTAACTTTTTAAATTTAACTTTTTTTAAAGAAAATTTTCCTTTCTAAAAGTATTATTATTAATATACATTATATATTGATTTTTAAATTAAAAAATTGATAAAATAAAATATTATTTTAAATAAATTATATTTAAGTTATTTAATTTGATAATTTTTTTGGTATTTTAATATATAACTTTTGTAGTTTCGAAATTATGTTAAAATAATTTTGTAAAAGACGTTATTTTTTAAAATAATTTATTATTATTATATATTTAAAAATATAAATTATATATATATATTTAAAAAAATGTACGTGCATTCAACTAGTAATAATTAAAAAAAAAAAAAAAAGATTTGGAAAAGGGTGGGAATGGATCTGCGTGGGGTTTATACTTGATAATCTGTAGGGCTTTTCCGGAATCGAGTGCATTCCTTTCCTCTCGGTCTCAATCTCAGGTATCACTCTCTTCTTCCTTCTCCTTTTACTTCACCGCTTCTTCTCTCTTCTCTTTAATTCCATTTATTCACACTCTCTCCTTTCATATTACCATACAAACTTATGCTTCGTTCGAACCCTTTTTTCTTTTCGCTTCCAAAATCATTTTCATTTTCCCCCACATGCTCAACCCTAATTACTTCTCAACTATGACCTTGCTGTTTTCATATCTATTACTAGGTTGCATGTTCGGAATTGGATTCTCTGTGTACAACATTGATAGTTTTATTTTTTATTTTTTATGAAGTTGTATTTTTTTGTATTTGTGCTTTGGATTTTATTAATAACCTGAATTTGTGTACAACTTTTATTTTGCTCTTGAGAAACCCTTCGGTAGTCTATATGTTACTATCACTTATGTGTTGTTATTTTGAACATCTTCTTTGGAAGTCCTTAACTATTATTGTCAACGACGTGGAAATCTTATGTGTGGTGCATAGTTGATTGCTCTACTTGATTGGGCTGTGGAAAAGAATTTTGTGTACTGAACCAAACATAAACATTGGAACTGAACTGAATAGAACCACAAATAACTAAATGGGTATGGTTTGTGTGCAGTTCAGTGATTTCCTAATGACCAAACTGAACTGTCTGATTTAGAAAAAAAAAATTAAAAAATTAAAAAATACTACTTTAACCGACTATAGTAGCGCACAACATTCAAATGCCCTGTTTTCACTTCCTCTCTCAATATTTGGTTGTCATCATTCAATGGCGTTGTTCCTTGTCTATGAACCACCTTCTGCCAATGCCTTAGTCAAAGCTTTTGACCTCAATGAAATCAAGCAGAAGACTGAGAGTGGTTTTGAAGTTCTCTGTAACAGCAACTGGTGGCAAGTCATGCTAGGATGCCTGGTGGGCTTGCAAATTGGCCTCTTTCTCAAGTAGGTATTAGAGATCCAGGATTTTAATAAGAAAGAGATGCTTCAACCCAAGATTTGGGTGATGATGATGTTTCATTTAGCTCTACTATAAAGTGTTCGTGATGTATTCAACAGTTCAAGAAAGTAGGAAGAGAAATAATCACAGGAATGGAAAATGGAGCTATGCATCAGCCATGAAGCACTGGTTAAACAATTCTGGTGCCAATTTAGTTGACATTTGAGCTGAAAATCTGTTCAAATAATTTGGTTGTTTTACCCTTGCTAGACAATAACAATTATAGTTCAGTTTTATAAACACATTTGTAGTTCTGTTGTTAGCTCAATTGTTTTTTATCCATGCCCACTCCCACATGTTACATCATTTCTGCTGAAGAGCAGTTGTTGTGTGTGTGTGTGTGTGTTTTGGAGATTCTAGGTCACGGAATTACTTCTAATGAACTGAAAGGTAGTTCCCCCTTCTTTGGTTTGTGTAAATTGACATCAAATTATCTGAATTTTATGTACTATGTCATTGATACACAGAAAAATCGTTTTTTGGTGGATTGCTTTGAGGAACAAGTGTGCTTTTGTAATGAAAAGCTGAAGAGTGATTCAGAACTAACCCTTGATATTTGTTGCTTCCTTTTCTGCATTATTTATATGTTGGTATATGTCCAACTTGGTTTTTTTAATGTTCATGTAGTAGTTAACGAATAGTTCCTTCACTTTTGTAATATTTTATTTTTTTGGCTTTTATCAAATGTTGTTTTATAATTTTATCTTTCTCAATTGTGTTTTTGCTTTGGAGAACTGGGGGGAGAGGGGGGGGGGGGAACGCATGAGAGAGATCATTTTCTGATTCCATTATTAAATGCAATGGTAGATGAAAACCTATGGAATTGTGTTAAATGCCCTAGAATTTGAAAAGGATATCATGTAGTATTTTTGAGATCTTACTGCTATTCTTATGATTCTATTTCAGTGTTGAAGACTTGAGCTTGTAGAAACTGTTGTTTAAATTCAACTGAGCAAAGGTCATCATGCAAGGTTTTCCAGGCGAAGGAGAAAGTGCTTTGTCAGTTGTTGGTCCAAGACCAATGGAATGGTCTACTGTTCCGTATAGTGCCCCTCAGGGTCCTGGATCAAATGGGAAGCAGCGGACCTCAAGTTTGGAATCACCAATCATGGTGCTGACTGGCCACCAGAGTGTTATATATACCATGAAGTTCAATCCAGCAGGATCAGTGATTGCATCTGGATCTCATGACCGAGAAATTTTCCTTTGGAATGTGCATGGGGATTGCAAGAACTTTATGGTTCTTAAAGGTCACAAGAATGCAGTTTTAGATCTTCACTGGACTACAGATGGGACACAGATAGTCTCTGCCAGCCCCGATAAAACAGTGAGGGCATGGGACGTGGAAACAGGAAAACAAATCAAAAAGATGGTAGAGCATCTCTCATATGTTAATTCATGTTGTCCTTCCCGGAGGGGGCCACCTCTTGTTGTCAGTGGCTCTGATGATGGAACTGCTAAACTATGGGATATGCGTCAAAGGGGTTCTATCCAAACATTCCCAGATAAATATCAGATTACGGCTGTCAGCTTCTCTGATGCATCGGATAAGATTTTCACTGGCGGTATTGATAATGATATCAAGGTATGGGATTTGCGTAAAGGTGAGGTTACCATGACACTTCAAGGTCATCAAGATATGATTACGGGTATGCAATTGAGTCCTGATGGGTCCTACCTTCTTACTAATGGCATGGATTGCAAGCTTTGCATTTGGGATATGCGCCCTTATGCTCCACAAAATCGCTGTGTGAAGGTGTTGGAAGGGCACCAACACAACTTTGAAAAGAACTTGTTGAAATGTAGTTGGTCTCCTGATGGAAGCAAGGTCACAGCTGGTAGTTCTGATCGCATGGTTTACATCTGGGATACCACTTCTCGACGCATCTTGTATAAGCTTCCTGGTCACAATGGGTCTGTTAATGAGAGTGCCTTTCATCCTAATGAACCTATTATTGGATCTTGCAGCAGTGACAAGCAGATTTATCTGGGGGAGATATGAAGAACAACGTTTAGAAACTTGCCAAATGAAATGAGCATGTTTGGTGCTTATGACAACCATTAAGGAGTGGTAACTTTAGATATGCTGAATTCCTTCTGTTGTTTGCTGGTCGATCGATTCAGTGACTGTATAATATTCTGGCAAAAATATTATATCCTGCTTTTGTTACTAATTAATGTAATTTGATATTTGACATGGGTGAAAATGGTTCCACCGTGTCATACTGAACTTCCAAGTCCATTTGGATAGGGTCTTTCAAAAGCATTTTTCTGGAGAATTGGATTAACATTAAAATTAGAAATTTTAGCGCTACACATTTTGGCATTTTCTTAAACTCGATATTAGGTAAATTTTATGTACGTCTTATTAAATGAAAGAAAAGACACATCACGTTTTAAATGAAAGTGAACAAGGAAATCATGCCTTTGTAAATATTTATTCAGCCATCTCTAAACAAATTTTTGCTTTTCTAGATATCGATGCTATATCTGTTTACAACTTTATTCATGAAATATAGTTTTAATCTCAAAATACAGATTTATAAAACTGGGCACGCAAATTGATATTAAAAAAATCCGACAATAAAAGACTCCATCCATTGGCATATTCGGGATGCTAAGTGCCAAATAAAAAATATATATATTTTTATTATTATTGGTTAAATTTGTCAGAAAAGATTGAGGTGATACTTATTGAAGAAAATATGACAAAATCAGTCAATGTGATTTTTGACATATGCAAAGAAGGCACTAAATTAAGGATTTGGATCCTCTGCATTGTAAGTGAGAACTGCACCTTGTTTAAATGAAAAAAATTTGTTTCAGTGAATTTCACCAAAAAGTAATTTTTACTTAAACCAAAAAAATTTGTTTTAGTAAATTAGTAAAAATAATAATTTTTATTTAAATAAAAAATTGTTTCAACCAAATTTACAAAAAATTTTAAAACTTTATTTTTTCTTCTCTAAACTATTGTATAAGATCATATGGTTAAACTTTATGATCATGTCACAAAATTGCTTAAATAAACTTAAGTAAAAATTATTTATTTATCAAATTCGCTTAAGGAAATTTTTTTTATTTAAATAAAAATTACTTTTTTCAAATTTACTTAAGCAAAACAAAATTGCTTAAGTAAACTTAAACCCTGTGGGCAACATAATCGAAACATAAATGGGCCCAACTCGTTTAATAATCATACTTAACACATCGTTGGGTAGTGTGTGGCGTTAGCGACTGATCTGTACAGTGCAGTACAGCCCATGGCGCCCGGTATCAGCTCAGCATTATCGATGATATTTACATGTGGAATAATTTGCTTCAAAAGGCAAAAGAAAATCCCAACACTTAATAATATTCGTGCTCCAAAATCTTCACTTCTACCATCCACTACTAGAAAGACAATTTTATTGATCAACAGGTGAATAGGTTTTATATAATGTTGGCAATTATTTTTATAGCTACTCTGTTTAATCTATCAATTCATTATAATAACAGTATTTTTATAGCTTACGCTAGACGTACAAAATTTACACAAGTAGAAACTTCTTCAAAACACAACATTTTGGTTGCTAAATGGAAAAATCTCTTTCGTAAAATGAGCAATCTAAATATAGATACAAAATTTCTTGATATAAAATAAATAATTACTTAACAGCATCCTAAGTGTTTTTCAAACAATACAAAAATGAAATTAAGTAAAAAATTCTATTAATACACTTTCCATAATTTTTAATATACCCACTCCAACGCAGTTTTCGAGAAAAGAAGCTATTTATTAATTCTTTAATAATTTTTTAACTATATGAAAGGAAAAATAACCGAGTGCCACTAAATAATTACACACTGCCACTAAAACAAATTAACTGGTGCACTAGCTAATTGAGTTGAGTTACGAATTTTATCCATTGGTCTAACAAAAACTCAATTATTTTAATCAAGAAGCAAAGATTTGAATTTACACCATCTAAAGCTATGTTTTCAGCAATGGACGTAATTCCGCTGCCGTAATAGATTAGCTTCCAAAAACTGTTTCCATGCCCTCAAGGGGCTTATCTGTCTACTACAGCCAACAGAGTTCTTAGTTTCATTATTCGTAAGTAAGCCTCTCGCCGCAAAAGATTTGAGCTCCATCTGATTTATATAACCACGCATCCTGAATGAGAGACTCATTCTCCAACTTTGATCACTATGAGACTGCTGATGTTGAGAAATGCATGTATTTGCGAGGGCAACCGTTTCATGTCTCTGCTTGGGATCATCATCTACAGACATAAGACTATCCATTCCAAACAATTCCCAATCAACCTGCTGCAAGATACCAGATGTTCGTTCCATGCTCTGTGAGGAGTGATCTTGTAGCTGCATTTCTTGTTCAATTGCTATGGTGTCAACTTGGACCTTCAATTCATGTAACCGATCACCAATTCTCGATGCTACTACATCATATAGTCTTCTTCTTGGCACATCCGGGCCCTTTTCCATGTAGAGTATATCATCAAAATTGATTGGATCGCCTATGAGCACTGTTACCTAGAAACCCAAGCAGGTCAAACCAATTAGTGTAAGATAATTTAAACTGAAAATTACAAATAATTAAAATTAATCACATCAATAAAAGACATGCCATGCAATACAGAATCTTTATTATGTAATTAAAACATCTTGATCTTTTGAGTAAGATAAAAAGAGATCCAAATTCAAGGAGCATTGAGTGCAGTATTTCCACTAAAGCTAGCAGTCTAACACCATCCAACACAATTAAAACCTTTGAAGGAGCATAGATTGAATAAAACTCGACTAATTTCATTAATTCTTCATGTCATTGATATTTTTGGAAACATATCAAGAACAGTACCATCTTGCCTATTCTGGGAAAGTTAGCACCTATTGGCATAATCTCTTGCATCCCTGTATGTACAAATGGGACAACAAGGGGCATGCTCTCTCCATCCAGAACCAACCTGATGCAGAAATTTATATCAGGAAAAATGTTTTACTCTTAACAAATTGTGAAATAATAGAAATATAGAGAAGTAAAAGATAATCGATGAACATATAATATTGACCCCATACTTCTGAACCAGGTTACTAAACGTAAAAGAAATGGCTGGGGGTGAAACAGAAACAAGAGTTTCAGATGTAATAAGGCATAAATATATGGTTAATTACCATAACATTATCCCAACAACACACACACATACGCAAATAAATAATATCTTATCTAATCCAATATATTGACTGAAACGTACTATAAAAACAGACAGATATATGATATAAAACCATACAAGCATATCCTTAAAATTCATGTTATATATGAACAGGACTCATCATTTTAATGATAAAATGTATTCAAATTTAACCGATCATGCTTTCTAAATAAATCATGAGTCTGAAAACCAATATTAAAATTTTAAAGGAGAAAATTAACAAACTTTACATATCATTATCAATTCCAGACCTAAACTTTGAAAAGGATCAAATTCATAAAGATTCTGCTTCCCTTCAGCTTCATCACTAAGACTAATGCCATTAAGCAAATAACACTTTTTTTGCAAGTAATGATAATGGTAAACTACTTCATTTTCAGAATTTACCAGTGTAGAGACAACAGAAGTTGTTCCGATTTGAATTAAAGGTAAAACCAATAGGTAACAAATAAATTATGAATTTCAGGAATTCTATCATCTAAATTTCAATCAAACTCAAGCCAAAAAAAGGATGATAATGAAGAAACAAAGAAGGAAAAAAAAATGAGACCCCAGGGATTAATTGAATAATTTATAATTTATAAGTGAAGAATAACTGTGAAATACATAATTGAATAATACTCCAGTTAGAACTTAGAAACAACTGTGAAATTTTGCCATGTTGGACTTACGAATGGAATAGCTTTCTATAGAGGAAACTATTTCTTTAGTCATGATTTTAATTATAATACTCTAAAGAATCAGAAAATAATTTTTCAAGGAAATATGGAAACATTTAAGATCTGGTTTATATGACAAGAAAAGCAAAACCTTTAATTAGTATTCTACTTGAAAATACTTTGAAAGTTTGTTACCTGCCAACGCCTCTCTTGGAAGAGCCCATGGTTTTGCCTCCATCCCGGGAACGACTACCTTCTGGGAATATGTGAACCCAACCACCATGGTTCAATTTTGAAAGGGCCATGTCCATTCCCTACAGCAGGGCAAAGGAAGTAGTTGAAATTAAAATCATCCATAAGATATTCCATTGTAGAGAGGGCAGGGGAAGCAAGAGACAAATGAAAGGTAAGAAAAAACCAATTAAAAATTGATAGAGACAGAGACACTCCTTTTTTAACACTACAAAAATAAGCACCTTTAGAACAGTTGCGACATGAAGGACTTAGAAAATCGTTTTCAAGACATAACAAGAATATAAATTGAATAATTCAAGTCATGACAGACAAAAAAAGAACTAAGAAAAATTCACGAAAAGCCACAAATTTCAGCATAGATCAACTATTATCATAAACTCCAATGCCTCAAATTACATGATCAAATATTGTTAAACGTCATTAGCTATTGTATGTTGGATCCATACCTCCTGATAAATCCCATCACCCCGAGAAACTGGCAAGACTTTGACAGATCGAAAGAATGCAGAGGATACAGGGTTTTTAAAGCACCTATCGGTTGCACAAAGCGTCCATCTGAGATTTTTAGCATCCAAAAGAACATGAGGAGGAAGCAGCGAAGCAATGACAAACGGATCATCAATGGAAGCAACATGATTGCTAACCTGAATAAAAAATCAAAAGCAAGCATCGTCAAAGAATTACATCCCCACACAGATTCCTTTTGCATAGCTCGGAAGAGCACGTACCGTAAGAAGAGACTTGCCTTTAGGTCTGTGCAGCAACGCGGAGTGTAATTTTTCTAAACCATAAACCTGTTCTTCCATATAAACACGAGTCAGATAAAATATCAAAAGGCAAGAGAAGATAATCTAAACCATATAGTCGGCATATCATTCATACCTGAACGCGGTTCAATCCATTCATAAAAACGTGACATACATTTCCAAGAACAGGAACAGCAACAGCTTGCATCATACGAAAGAGAGTTGAATCCTCTTCGGAACTGAAATCCTTAGTCACTGTAGACACATACGCGACAATCATAAAGTGAAAAACCTAGCCGATGCCTATGATATATTTTAATTTCATTTGATCACAACATTCACGAGCATTAATATATGTGGATTTACGGCATAGAGAGATCATAATGTAAAAGCAACGAGAGAGGTAATTGATTGAGTACCTCGTTTGCGATAGAAAGAGGTAGATGAAGGCAAAGAGTCCCTCCGAAAATCACGAAATCTGCTAAGCCAGCGCTGAATCGTAGAGGAAAAGTAGCCATCGGCGGAAGGGATGAAGGTATGGTGGTTGCGGCAGCGCCAATGGCGGTCAATGGCGACTCTGAATCGGTCCCGGAGCTGGAGCTGCAGGTGTCGAGCGTTGCTTTTCCAAACATCAACGCGATCAAGACGAGGCATCGGCGAAAAAAATGGAGATAGAAGAGAAAAAAAGAGTATCGAGAAATGGTGGGTGCAGTTAGTTGCACAGATAAAGTAGCAAAGCGCGAGTGTAGAAGGAGAAAAGAGAGGGATGCAGCAAATTCCACCAAGATTCCGCAGAATCGCCAGGCAATGGAGCCAGCCAAAGAATATTTCGCAGGTTCATTGAATCATCATATGTCACATTGGATCCTGAATGTGGCAGAGAATTGAAAAAACAAAATGTCTTATTCAAAGTTGAGTATCAGAAAAAGAAGACAATCAAACATTTAAATATCTGTCATCCACAAAGAGGTCTTAAAACTTAAAACTTAGCATCATCAAGGTTCTCTCCTCTCTCACCGTCTCATGTCTCCTCCCTCACACACATAACAAAATTTAAGAAACACATGATTTAGAGAATAAATAGTACATAACTTCATAACAGAAAACCTACAACAGACAGGAAGATTAACATTTATAGAGGTGGTGATGGTTATGTACCTACCTCTTCGACAAAATCCCATATTGCATGGGAAATTGTTACATTTTTAACTGTGACAAACTCAAACAGTCTTAAAAAGCAGAATGCAAAACTAACAAAAATATATAAAACATACAAGATACCAGTCTTCCAGATGGCTAGAAAGAGGTGACCATGGAACAGATCAAACCGGCTCAAGGTAACAGTCAACCCAACAGATGACCTCGATCAACAATGAGTTCAAACAAAAACCGTATATACAGATTCAGTTCCGGAAATTTCAGAGAGAAATGAAACAATACATAGGCAATTGAGTAGTCTTTCTCTCCCGTGACCTATTCTTCTTATTGTGGAGCAGCGAACCTCACAAATGAAGCATCTGCCATAGGGGATTCTGGTGAGTTCACATCGATCTTCCTTACCTGTGTAATCGCCCAGGCGGCCACCAAATGAGCTCGTTCTCATCTCTCTGAGTTGGGCCGGTTGGTTCGGTGGGGCCCAATTTGCGGTGGCAAGGAGGGTGGAGACCACGTATCTTCTCTTTGTTTTTAAAACATTGTATTTCTTATTTTCTTCCTACATCCAAACGAAAAGATAATGACTAAAAAGTGAGACTAAAGATAAGTTGACGGATTTAAAAAAATATTTTACATTTTCCAATGAATTTAAAAGGAAACGAGCTCCTTCCTGTGGTAGAATATAGTGACCGTGATTAACTCGATACTGTTTTGGTTAAACAACCACACATGTGAGTATGTTTTTTTTGGTAAAACATTGAGTATGTTATATGTACCATAGAATTTCTGCAAGCATAAAAAAAGATATATTTTGAACACAATTATTTCATAAAAAATTATTTCAAACAAACCAATATTAACTTATATAATAAGATCAATTTACAAATTTTTAAGTGACAAGCGACAAAAATCAACGTAACATTATTTTCAATATAAAAAATATATAAAAAAGTGACGCGTTATTTTTTAATTATTTGTATTTTAAAAATACAATATAAAAATTTATAATATATAATTATTTTTTATTAATTTAAAAATTTATTTATTTATTTTTAAATAAAAATGCAGAAAGTTTTTGTTTAATACACATTCAATAAAGTTGTCCCTCTTTTCGTAAATCACCACTCCTATGCCTACCTACTCTCTCAGCCATAAATTGTACTTTTCCCCGCTCAAAATGTCTCTGTTTCTCACGTGACCCCTCTTGACGGTTCTTACCCACTCACAAACTGATTGAACAAATTTGGAAACGATTCCAAAGTCCCCACAACCTCAGTTTCAATATTCTCCTCAACTTTAAATGCAACATTACTATACAAAATTAATTAACAAAATAATTTATTTGTTTAGACAGCAAGAATTTTTGTTCAATGGACAAAGACTATTATATACAACCTTCAAATATGTTAGAATAACTCTTTATATTTTTTTAAGCATTTTAATGTATAGTTAAAAATATAAATTTTAACTTTATATTAAAATGCTTAAAAAATATATTTTTTTATTAATAAAATTATAATTTATAATTAAATAATAATATAAAAATTGTTATACTGTTAAATTAAATTTATAAAATGAATTGTATAAAAATATTTAAAAAGTTACAAAAATAAATATATTAGTAATATTAAATATTATAAGTTTAATAAAAAATATTATTTATTAACATTTTATCAGTTACCTTAAATATAATTAAAAGGTTTTTATTTTAGAACATTCTAATGTTTAAATACTTTATATTACTTTCTTATATTTATATAAAAAAAATATTAAATTATATATTCTCTTTATGATTTTTTTTATAATGTGTTTCTAATGTTTTTTTTTTTTCATCTGGTTTAATCTGGAGATTCGACCCGGGTCGCACATTTGAATGTAGTGGATAAGTCTATCACTGAAAATTTTTTGCATACATAAAAGTTCAAACTCAAAACCTTCCTTAAGTAATACTGAATTGCTTGCCACTCGAACCAACCGCTGTTAGTTCTTAATGTAATTTTTAACTTAATGTTATAAAAAGAGTTAAATAAAAACACAAAAAAAAAGTATAAGAAGAATAATTACACAAAAACTGTAAACAAAATCAATAAAATGTTAAGGTAAATTACTAGAATTGATATTAATTTTTAAAATATATTAATAACAAACAATAATCAATACAGAGAATCGTTGATCTTTTTGTTATCGAGCCTAAGTTGTATAAAGTCTTTGCAACTAAAACTTATAACTAAAAAAAAATGGTTTATAGATATAATTTTTATTAATTATCTAAAAATACATTTATTCTTGTAATTATTTTTACATATTATTCACGATATTTATTACGTGTATTGATTTTTAGTCCTAGTGACTGCTCTCAAAACATTTCAATTCTTTTTTTTTTACATAAATTCATCATTTTATAACAGGTCTTTGTCATTTGAACTTAAATGCTTTTAAACTTGAGACACTTCAACTCTTTTTTATGAAGCATCACTCGATTAACTGTAAAAGAAACATGTTGAAAAGTATGAAATTCAACTAACTTCACTTTTTAATTATGTCAATTTCTTTAAGTGCCTAGAACTGAGTATGAAATTAAAATTGAACTTCAAAATTTTAATTATCATATTTAAATGTCAATTTGTAATTGAGATTATAATTTCATAGTCTAATTCCATGAAATTATGTGACAATTAAATTTGGCTAACTTCAATTCATAACATGTACCCTATGATTTTAAATTCATAATATCATAATTCACAGTACACTTTTTCACGTATCATGCTTCCTCCTTATCTCGTAGTTTCTCTTTGTGGTTCTTTTTTTCAAATACTTTCTTTTTCTTTTATTTTGTATTTTCTTCTCTTTTTAACTCATTACGTTTATTATTATTATCATTTCTTTTTCTATATTCTCTTATTTTTTTCTATTCTCTCCTTTTTTGTTTTACATTGGCTATTAATAAAAAATAAATTTTCTCTATTCTTTTTTTGTCTTTTTCTTTCGTTCTCTTTTTTTTTTTTTTTACATTTGTTACATATTTATTATGTTTATATTACTGTATCGTGTTTTTATTTTACACTTATTACAAACTATATTGTATTACTATTCTGTATCTTCTAAATTTGCCCCAAATGATATTGTTTATATTAACTGTATAATAAATTATTTAATACTTTTCTTGAATTGTTAGATGTAGAAGAAAATTTTGAGAGTACAAAAAAAAATAGAAAAGAAAAAACTTGTGCTAAATATAAAATAATATATTTTTGAGGCAATTATATTATGGAACTAATAAAAATTAATATAATCAATTATATTTTATCAAACAAATTTTTTTAGCTTTACAATATTTTAAGAAGGACTACATGATGCTTATCCCATGAGCTTTGGAGAACAGAACAGAAGAGACACCTTTTGAATAGGCTTCTTCAACATACTTAAGTATTTCAGCGTCCAGACTGCATCTGCAGTAAACAAATTGTGTTATGCAAGCTATACTATTTAGTAGGAGAAAGATATGGAAGTGTGGTACTCAATTTACTTAATTGAAGAGGTGAATCTCTATTTCATGTTCTGATCCTGAAATGCTGATGCATATAGTGTTTTATTTAAAAAGAAAAAAAGATAGCCAGATATTAACAATCACTTGTGCGAGTCTGCTCTGCTTCCAAACTAGAATACAGTACATATTCTCAATAAAACAGTTGCACGGAAACCACAAATTAGAGCTAACAATTAAAAGGATTGTGATTTAAAATTGAAGAATAAACCTCCTTCAGTTGATTGATCTACAGTAAACAATTAACACTCGCTGAGTTCACACTGTTAAAAATTGATGAATAATAAATTACTGTAACAACATAGTTTTTTTTTTTTTTTAAATGAATAAATTCATTGAAATGTAACATGAAACAGCATCCCCCTCAATAGATTGTGAAGCTCACTTTAGTAAAAGAACATCGGGTAATCAAACACAACATTTTAATCATGACAATTGCAGAGCATTACCGAAATTCTTCAATGTATGGAGATGGAAGCTCTTCATCCAGTGCAATAAGACAACAGGCGATACAACTTAGCTAGACCCTTCCTCCTATTTATCAAAAGAAGTCACGGTTGCAATAACAAAATTTTCATGATTTGCTTTATTCCCTACCAATGAAGTTTCAATGTAATCTTGAGATATTCACAGAAAACGCAAGTTCCAACAAGCAAGTTATAAGCAGGAAGTTAAGCCACATAAATACTAAAACCGAACTCAATGCTCGAAGTCACAGATTACAATTAATATAATTTTTAACTTGCTCCACGTTTACGCAAATTAAAAGAGTTAAAAAAAAAAGAGCAGTGAGTACTAGAAGGTGTAGTTACTTTATCCATTCCTTAAGAAACAACGCAAAGCTAAGCAGAACCATGAACACTAAAAATGTAAAAATAAAAAATTAGTTTCTGAAACAGTATTTAAGAAATTGTCTCGGTAGTTGGCCGATCCACAAAGGCTCAGAGAGAAAGAGAGGGGACTAACTTGTTTGACATGATCAACTACTGCCACTTGGGTAGTCCTAGGATCAAGAAATGCATTCCTCTCAAGCTCACCAAATGATGTAACCAGTACCTGCATGCACGTGTTAAGTCAGGTATTTACCAGAAGAAATTGATTTAGCATAGTATACATCACAATAAAAGCATAAACAAAATCGATCCAATGAATTCGAAATTAAAAATCGACCAAAGAAACCCTAGGAAATGAGTAGTAGGGTGTTTGGCGAGAGATAGTTACGTCTCCGCTTCGGGTGGGCATTTGAAGGGAAATCAAATGGGATTTGTTGTAAAAGGGAAATGCCTCGGAAGCCGCCTCATTGTACAAATCGTCGTTGTTGAGAATGGATTTGACGTCTGCAGAAACGATTGGGGGATTGAATTGTAGATCAGAGAGCGAATCACAAAGAGCAAGAAGCAAATGCGGAGGAAGAAGAACCTTTGGCAACGTATTGGATTTCTCCAGGGGGAGAGTTGAGGAGGAACCATTTCGCGATTTCTACTTTGTGCTTATCGCTAAGCTCTGATTCTTCTTCTTCTTCTTCTGCCATATCTCTGTCCAGAGGAGAAGTCGCGGTTTTAAATTGCAAAATGCAGTGAAGAAGAATAGAAGAAGAATGAAGATCTTGGCTCGCCTCTTCTGAATGATAGACAGTGAAGAGAATGCTTCCTCGCCAACCAGGCCCGTCCAATTTTCACTAAAACTGCAGAGAATTCATGAATTGATAGACATTTTTATTTTTCATTCCCCTTTTATGTCTTATGATTTTAGCCCGTTTGAATAGAAAAAATAAAAATAAAAATTAAAACGAAGCCTGAATCTTGTGGCAGTAACCGAACATGAAGATTAATTACACAATTATATTTTAGATGATGATGTATCACAATCGTTTCGTGCCTCGTCATCACATTGGAATCAACCACTGACGCGTTTCTTCTATTATGGCATAGATCAAAACAAAGAAGTAGTAACAAAATGACTTTCAATACGCTTTTCCCTCCACTTATTCACTCTGGAGACAAGTACTTCGTTACCATGTCCACGTGCAACGTCGCCCCGCACGTGACATAAACATATGTATATGTCCTTGCCCGTGACATTCTCCTCTCACACTGTTCTGAAACAAAATGCTTCGAAACCAAAACGCAGAGTAGCGAGAGTTCCCATTTCCCAACGGCAATGGCGAAAACCCTGAAACCCTAGCCTAAAACCTTTTCGTACCATTTATCTGCTATCTTCACGAGCCACGACGCCATGGAATTCGATCATTACCTCTCGGAGCTTTCCGCTTCCTCGCCATGCATTCCCTCCGGCGAGGACTTCCATTTCTATTACAAATTCGGCGAATTCCGACGCCCGATCGAAGAAATCGCGAGGAGGACGCACTCGATGCTCGACACAATCGGCGCTGCCGAGCATATATGGGGCAGAGGCACGACATTTCCCAGTGACATCGATGACGCGTACGAATGGCTCGTGAATGCGAACGAAGACGTTTTGGAGCTGGTTGAGGAGTTGGTGGATGAGTTGCGGAAGGTTGCGAAGGTGGAGGAAGAGGATTGTGAAAACGGGTTCGGGTCGGGTTGTGTGAAGAGGAGAAAGGAGTTCATTGACCCGGTGAATAGAGTTGATAGCGAGATGTTGGGGGCGAAGCCTAAGGTACCGTTTCATATACCAACGATTACGAAGCCGCAGTATGCACACAACATTGTGGTTAATAATGCAAGCCAGCCTTTTCAGCATGTTGGGTTGGAGAAGAGTGATGATGGTCAGAGGTTTATTCATCCACTGGTTCGATCACTGTACTGAATTTCTTGATAATGTGTTGATTTATTTTTGTATCTTGTATGGCCTTAACATTTTGAATGTGTTTCAGTTTAAAAAAAAAACTGTGTTGTTTTAAACTAATTAATGTTTGACTATGGTATAGGGGTACTAATTTATTTGTGAAATATTGTCTCACATACTTTCTTATGTTGAAAAGAATGAATTTCAATCAGATGAGCTACATGTCAAGTCCAATGCAAAATCTTTGTAACTCTGGATGAACATCCAATAATTGCTAATTTTGTACTAAAATATCTTTTTTAGCTTTGAAATACTCCAGATGACCATCAATCTTATTCACTTCATCCATGTTTTGTACCATCTTTTATAAAAATTCATATAATCCACGCTTAACTTTAACTTCAAAATCTAGAGCATAATGCAAGATTGAATTAAGGTAGTAGCCTGTAGCATGCAAAAGTCTATGCAATTGATTATCCCATTTTTCATCAATTATCTTCCATAGTGGCATAAAGCTAGAGATTAAAGAATGAAAAAAAAAAGAGTTTTGAAATCAAAGCTATAAATTATCAAATTAAACTAGAGTCTAATATACCTTTTTTTAACACCATTGAAGTTGGTTTGAATCTTCTTCTTAACTCGATCCATTTCCTCATAAATGAAACTTGTCCTTTGAATCTACCAGACACAACACTCTAATTAAGGGTAAGTACCCCTTAAACAATTCAAAATATCTTTCCAAAACACCTTATTTATGACTGGATTTTCTACAACTATTTCATCCTTTGTTTTGACAAATTTACTATTCTTCCATTCTTTGGATGTAAACGTTCTCAATAATGATCCTTTATTATCATTCAAGCATCTCAAAGTCAAGTAAGAAGTTGCAAAACGTGTAACTGCAGGTTTAATTAAATCTGTACCTTGAGTAAAGTTATGCAACAATGATATAAGACCAGTTCTAGAATAGATGTAAGTTGTGATTTTATTCTTGTTTGCAATAGTTTTTTTATGTAACGATATCTTCTTCTCAAAATCTTTTATGTAATATACAGCACAAGGTGTCCAATAAAGCCTTTTCCTCTTCTCCGTCAATATTCCTCTTGCTATCTTATAATTTGCAGCATCATCCGTCACAATTTGTACCACATTTGCTTCTCCAACTTCTTCAACAACATCATCTATTATCTTAAAAATTGTCTCCTCAACTTTTTGCTTCAAATATTTTATCCAAATCTCATGATAGGATGGTGGCTTAAATCCAATACCATGTCGAGCAATCCCTCACACATCTTTTTAAATTCTTCACTCTTCACAACATTGAAAGAAATTGCATTATTGTAAAAAAATGAAGCAATTTCTAATCATGCATCCTCTCTCAAACCTTGCTTAAAAATTGAATTAATTGTAGATTGTATGGTCACTCCTTTTTTCTTGAAAAGAGTTGCTGGACTCTCAACATCACTTTGTATTTTTCTTTTGCCCACATTTTCAAATTCACCAACATTACCTTCTATTTCCTTTCCTTCAAGCTCTTGCTGTGTGTTTGTTTTTTTATGAATTTTTCTTGCAATTTAACAACTATGTCCCACATTTGTTTTCAAACATCATCAGAGACAATCATGCAAGCTCCAATATTTTGCTTTGTTCCTGCCAAATGATGTTTGAGACAATAAATTCTTCCAGTATATTCATTCTCATAATACATGCATTTGATTCTTCTAGTATGTCCAAAAATAGAAATGTCATGGTTCCACGTCACATCATTTCTTGTTCCAGCAGTATTATTTGATTTTGATCTTAAACTTTCACTTCTACCAACAATACCACTCCCTGTAGCTCCAGCTCTACTTGATTGAATTCTCTTTCCTTTTCCACAGCCACCAACTTCCTTTCTAATATTATTCGCCATGCAGCAATGAAAAAGAGGGGAAACAAAGAACTGAGACCCACACAGAACTGAGATAGACTCACCCAAATAGAACCAGCCACACCCATGGAGAATTGTGAAATGGAGCAGCGAACCAGCAAACACCAATCAACATGAAACCAATAGGAAGAGCAAATCAGAACAGCAAACAACGACCGACACAAAACCAATAGCAAACCAGAACAGCAAGCACCAACCAACAACAAACACCAATAAACAGCGACCAACCAGACCAGCCTGGGTCTCACGAAAGAGAGAAGATGAGAGACTATGTTGCACCAAAGGGAGAAAATGAGAGAATGGGTCGCACGAAAGAGAGATGGGAGAATGGGAAAAAATTACCCTAGAACTATTTTTAAAAACCAGGTCAGAAAAACCCGAGCCGGAAACCCGACCCAGAAATCCCAGGCCAGAATTTGATCCAGAAGTCCATGCCCAGGATCGGATTGGATCTCTGATCCTACGATCTTATGGGAAAAGATCGGGATCTCAGCCGATCTTACAGATTTGGAATCCCAGTTCTGATCAAGATCGCGAGGGAGGTTTAGGGTCGTAAAATCGTGCGATCTTGCGATTTTAATCACAATTTTAACAACATTGATAACAATAATTGTAGAATATTTACAAAATATTTATTTACATAATTAATGTAATTACAAAGATAAAGTTGCCTTATTACTATAATTACTTATGTTTAACAGTCTATGAAGTTATTTCATGGTAGGCATAGTAATTCTGGAGTATCTAATAAGTCTAGCTTGCATGCAGTTGTGCCATGGTCTTATAGTTGTATTGGACTTTATTCCACTCTATGGAGTAACAGTCAAATGGTTTCTGACACAGCAAGACTATTGAAAAGTTGAAATTTTGGGATGATCACAAGCATTTTTCTGTTATATGAAGTGCTTTGATACTCTGGTGCATGGACATGCACACACACATATACATGATCTTTCATCCCTTTCACCTTCTATTTCCCTTTCATGCAAATGCAGCATAAATTTCAGGAATATATGGTATCCAACTATCCATGATATTGTTAGAAGCTAAGAACTTTTTGAAACCTTGTTTATCTTATATTTACATTTTAAAGGATAAAATGAAAAAAAGTGGTTTTATTTGCAGTTCATTCTAGGATATACTTGTCCAATTTTACCACTGTGTTGTCCTGTAGTTTTCTGGTCATTTTGTCTTGTTAATTTTATTTGGTTCTTCAAACAGCATGTAGTAAGATTGACCCATGAGAATAGAAGTTCTTGTTTCAGCTAGAATATCGGGCTTCACATTTGAGAATAACATTCGTTAATAAACTACAGGACAACACAGTGGTAAAATGAATGGAGAGACAAAATACAGATCTGCTTCTTACCTTTGATCCTAATATCCAGAATACCCTTTCAAATTGAGAGGAACATTGCAAAATGAATGGAGTATTTCTACCAAGTTTGTCAAAATAAAGATCATGACTAGGATTATGAAAGGGATGAAAGATCATAAATCATGGGATTATAACACAGATTGCAAAATTCTACTAAAAGTATAAAATATTTTTTAATATAAAAATTATACTATAATTAACTAACACCTAATAATATCACTGGCGCTAAAGTTCAAGCAATACTTCTAATATTTATATAAAAGTTATTGTATTACTAATATCTCAATTTATTTAATATTTGATACTAATTATGAAAAGAGAAAATGAATAAAAAGGGAACACGACAGCAGCCAGCTCCAAAATCTAAGAGAGGTTTAATTTGAAATGAAAGCCCAAAAGCAGCTCAATTTGAGGCTTCATGAACAAAATAAAATGATTTAGAAGGGGAATTTCAAGTGTTTCTTACAGATTGAGATGAAGGGGATGTAGGGATTACAAGTTCTCAAATCACTGGTGGTGGGTGGCATGAGATCAGAACAGACCAGATAGAAAGGTTCATGAAGTTGCATGAAGAGAAGAAAGATTTAGGGCCTAAAAACCAATAAAATCAAGTTTTCTCCCTTCTCGAACCTGACCTCTGCAAATAGTGAAAGCTCACTGATTTTGAAGTCCAATAATCTTCCCTGGCTGTCCCAAAACAATCCCACTGGTCTTCCATCCTGCCTGTGATTGAGCATAGAGAAGGATGAAGACTGAGTATCATGTGATCCTATGACTAAACTTGTGACCTTAACAACCTTGCCTATGAGTGTGCTAACAAAAATATTTGATAATTTAGCTAATGTTTTCTTGTTTGTGTTCAGCTGGGTTGTTTTAATTCTGGATTAATGATCTTTTGCATGAAAACTAAATCATAATTCTGATTAGACAATTTTATTACATATCCACCTCTTGTGCTTTTAAGCCACCTGGATTTCTATTTTCTGTTCTTTAATTTTATTAGTCCATGTAATAGATTTGAACCAAATTTGTATGTCAAAAGCTTCAAAATATATAGCATAGTTCATAATCTATTGTTTCTATATTATATTGTACAATAACTAATTTATATTTCAGGAGAAACTCTCTTTTTTGGATTTTGTTGATAAAGTAAATCTTGAGAATCTTGAGCCAGTAAAGCCTTCCACAATAGAGTGCACCCCTTTCAAGCTTGTGGAGGATGTCAAAGGACTGAAGGAGTTGGCTGCTAAGCTGTCTTCTGTTAATGAATTTGCTGTATGACTTGAATGCATTCCTTATGTTTTACTTCATTTATAACACTAGATTCTTTTTTCTGTGGTCTGATTGTACATTTCATTTAGAGCTTGCTTTCCCATTAGTCATACTCATAAGTTGGAACATGTTATAACACCCTATTCTTTGTCTCTGATGTGTGCAACTACAGTGGTTCATAATGCAAAATCAAAATTCGTTCATTCACTTTAAAATTTTTATCTTAAGCTGCACAAAACCTGATGCATCCCTTGGTATTCAGATATCTACCTCTGTTTTATTTCTGTTCAGATTAAAGAAAAGAAATCCAATGAATAGAGTTTCAGTTCTGTTGCCTCTTCAACAGTTCTTGACAGGCAACAACAAAATATTGCTCAAGTTTTGGATATTTAATGTAAATTGGACCATAAGTGATACTCTTCCTTGTGCAGTAACACTTAATATCATATTTGATTAACTATTCACTCTTTGCATCTTCCCTTCATTTTTACTGGGATCTTCTTATATTTAATGTTGGAACCTGATTAAGAATCATATTTCAAAATTAAATTTGTGCCCTTTTCTTTAACTGCTATTGAAACATTTGATATTATGTTGATTAGTAGTCACTGTCTTCGCTTGGCTCAATAAATTATGCACTAATTGTTTCAAGTTGAACATTTCATACATAACTACAGTACAAATCTTAAATTCTTGCTTTTCAAGCTTATTGGTTAAGCTGTTCTTTTGCTGATCGTGAATTTATTTTTTAATTTTGATCTTGTTTTCTATCTATGGAGTTCTTTTACTTTTTGGTTGTTGTCCTCTGAGTGCTTTTTGTTTTCAATGCATTTAATTTAATTATTGCCACAATATTCCCCCTTTTAGTTACTTCTGCTCTTTTCTTTCTTTGTATTCCTTTGATGTTTTCATCTTGACTTGGAATCTTTAGGTGGATTTGGAACATAATCAATATCGGTCTTTCCAAGGTTTGACATGCTTGATGCAAATTTCAACCAGGACTGAAGATTTTGTAATAGATACTCTGAAACTCCATGTTCATGTTGGGCCGTACCTGAGGGAAGTCTTCAAGGATCCTACCAAGAAGAAGGTCAGACGCTTATGATTGATGTTTACTTAATTCAGTTGATTCGCCTCCTTTTGTTGACTGTATTTATTTGACTATTTGTGGTTAATTAGGTCATGCATGGAGCAGATCGAGACATTATATGGCTTCAGCGGGATTTTGGCATTTATGTTTGTAATTTGTTTGATACTGGCCAGGTTTGATTGAAAACCCTTGATGTTCAATATTGAAATTACCTCCCTTATTATTTATCAAGGAAAGAAAATTGTAGAGTTATATATTTGTCACCACATTGTTTCTTGTGCAAAATAGGTCTTAAAGCAGTAGATACTGTTCTTCATGTAGAGAAAATGTGAAAATATTTGTGGAACTAATTTATGTATCTGATGAATTAAGCCTGGAAATTGTTTGTCATGAAGAAAATCCCAAAAGCTTAATTTGTTAGGTTACAGCACATGATTTGTTTTATATATACCAGGTTTCTATGGTTGTTGCTATTTTTTTTTTTTCCCTTGAAATAGTCATCCAAGAAGAATGGGCTTCATAAAGTAATACTCAAGCATCATGTTTGCTGTTGAGTCTGCTTCTTAGAGTGATAAGATATGATTGTTTTGATGTATCCTTGGAGAAGAATGCTGGAAATAAGCCCTGTTGAGAGACTATGCTGACTTTGCTTTTATTTGAGCCTTTGGCTTGCTTGTCTGACCTCATGATTGGGTTTCTGGCTTCTGCACTTGAATTTTACAGTTACTTTTGTACTGGACATTTTTCTGTATGAATTTGACATTTCCATGTTTATGTATTATCCTCATGCTACCTCATTTGCAAGATTGAATAAGAATCATCTTTTCGTTTGGCATAAACCTGAAAATATTTCAGTGTCAGCTTTTCATGCTTCAATAATGTGTTAATCTGTTCTATGGCATTGTGAAATGATGAACAAGCTTTAAAGTTCTGTTGCTTTTGATTATCTTTGTCATAATCCATGTTGCTTGATCACATGTTAGGGATTCATTCTATAATCTTAATCTTCTCTTCTTTTTGTCAAACAAGACTAATGTGTATTTTGATTGCATTGTCAGGCCTCAAGAGTGTTAAAATTGGGGAGATATAGTCTGCAATATCTTTTGCTGCACTTTTGTGGTGTTGCGGCAAACAAGGAGTATGCTGTCTTTATTTTTTGGAATTACCCCATCCTTTAATTGTCTTAGCACAGAAACTTTATCATTCCTATGGCATAACTATTCCTGTTATTCTTACTAATATTCTGGAAGGTTGACAAGTCAACTCCTTGCAGATACCAAAATGCAGATTGGAGAATCCGCCCTCTTCCTGATGTGATGCTAAGGTGCAACTGTGTTTTGAACTTATCAATTTGATCCAATGTTGATTCTTTCTGTGGTGGTTATTTTTCTGCTTGTCTTCTATACTTTCCATAGTTCCAGCTTCTGATAGTATTGATCCAGGTGTCTGTGGACATGTTTGATCAGTTGCCACGTTCCTTGTACTCAGCTGGGGCTTATCTGTATGATAGGTAAAGACCACAGATCACAGGTTTATGTGAGATGTAATAAGAAAGGGGTTCAAGGAATAACTAACTACAGTTAGTTAGTTGACTTTATTGTTAATTAAACACTTAAATAGTAGGAGAGGCAGAATTTAGGCATCAAGTAAAAAAGAGTGGGAGAGACCTGGAACTCTCAAAATTCCAGGGAATTGCATTGTACTCTGTTTTTCCAATTCATTAGTTTCGTGATAAAGATTCAGAGTTGATCTTGCTGTGTGTTGTGTGTACTTTCCTGATTCCAAGTTTATCACTGAAGTTCAGCTTAGACTAAGAATTTGACATATATTTTAAGCAAAATCAGTGTTTATCATACAGGCTTAAGTTTTAGTGAGCTAGTGACTTGGACTTGAGCACCATTGGGCTGACTGTAAGTCATTCATTTGACATTCATTGTTTGAAAATTTGTGAATAGAGGTGTCATTCATACGGGATTCATTTTCTATAAAGTCACTGTTTTGTCCATACAATTACTTGGCTGCTTGCTAACACTGAAGGCATCATGATGGACAAGGGAATAATGTGATGTGGGAAACAAATAATAGGATCATTGTTGTCAATAGTGCACATAGCAGTGGTGCATGGCGGAGCGTCCTTCGGCCGCTAAAGATCTGGCATAGCAGAGCATTTTTGTTGTCACGGGCATTGCAGCTGTATTTGTGGCCCAAAATGCAGCCTGTCACAGCGCAATAGCACCACCATAGGGAAAGATACCAAGTTACCAACTTTCCTTTTCTATCCTCAAAACAAAGGAATTTTAGGATTTTTTAAGGGTAAAAAAGACTTTTAATCATAGTAGTCAATAGCGGCCGCTATCGCAACATAGCACAACGCAAAGTGACTCCCTGCAGCTATTCTTAGTGCATAGAGTTGTGGTTCAGTGTAGCAGCTGGAGCGGCACGAATCGACCAAAATTGCGCATCTTAGAATGGATTATTTGCTGAATCATAACTACATTTGAGCAAAATGAACTGGTCTCAAGCATTTCTGATTTCTTCTCTCATGACAAATCTAATTGTGTATAGTTCATCTTTTTTCCTACACACGCACATCTATTACTGACTTCTGATTATAAATCTAAGGTTTATGTGATTATACTTCTATACTGTCCCAGCAATTTGAATTTGTTCAATCTAATGAAATGTTGTTCTGATGATAGATATGGCCGTGAAGATACACACTATCTGCTTTATATATATGATTTAGTGAGGATCAAATTATTTACATTGTCTAAGGAATCTGAAGGTTCTGATAATCCTCTAGTGGAGGTAAGTTGAGATCAAACTAGTTTAATGAATGTGTAATATATCAACCATTCCTCTGGCCACTAGGTGCTTATTTGTTTCCTTAGTCATTTTCTCATAACTGCTTGACTTTTAAGCATTTTGCAAACATTTCCTTGCTAGCCAATATTTCAATTATAAAATCTTTAATCAAATTGAAAAACAACACAACTGAATGGATAGTTTGGAGAGTCTCTTCTTTTAGCCTTTTAACTAAAATTCTCTGTCACTCATAGGTTTACAAGCGCAGTTATGATATATGCATGCAACTATATGAGAAAGAGCTTCTGACAGAAAACTCATACCTTCAAATATATGGGTTTGTTACCTTTTTTCAATTGTAAATCTTTCGTTACTTCAGCATTTTATACTTAGCAAGTTTTCAAAACAATATGTATTTTCTGCCTCATCTATGTAGAGTGTTGCGTGTGTTTCAAAGTTTCTGCTTTGCATTTAATATCTACCAAGAGGTGTGAACAAAAAACCAATTACTGTTTTCTATACAGGTTGCGAGGGGCTGGTTTCAATGCTCAGCAGCTTGCTGTTGTTTCAGTAAGTTTCTCTGACTTATTATTTCCATCCTTTATCTTTGATTGCTTACACAGAATGATAGCATTTCTTCTTCTGTTGAATAATTTCTGTTGTGCATATGGGTAGGCCTCAGATAAATTTTGGGTAAAAGATTTTGTATTTTGCTAACCCTAACTTCATAATCTAGAATTCTGTATTTGTTCAAGAAGGAAGCTAGGATTTCCTAGGTATTTTCTTTCACTCCCCTCCACCCCCCAGTATCATGGTGTTTGGTGGATCAATCTTTCTTGGTAATTCTATGTGTTTTAAGAAATCATAGGTCTGCTCCTATAGTGTTTAGTATCACTATATTTATGAGTATACTATGCAATATGAATATGAAGATACAGAATACTGCATAAATATTTTCCTCCTCTTTGGCATACTAGTACTGGTATATCCAACATTTTTAACTATGTATGTTGATCTCTGTATTACTTCAACCACCTTCCCTTCCAAAATATATGTTCTAGCTACAATTTGTCATTGCTTGCCAACATATTACTGTCAATCTGTCATTGTTCATAACTATTTGTTACCTTTGCTACTGTATCTTTTATAATACTGCTTCGGTTTTTCACTATGCTTTGTCTCAATGACTCAATCATCACTAGTAGCTTGAATAGTTATATTGCTGAAAAATATTGGTTTCTTTCATGAAACAGTTTTTGTTGGACATCCATAAACTATTGGCCTCCTAAGCATATTGCATAATACTTGCTTTTCTATAAACACAATCCAGTATCACATCCAACCTTGCATGAACCAGCTATATTGTCAGGAATTTATTATGAAGAATGTCAAACTTCTAAACTTATAAAAGAACAACATAAATTGATTCCACTTTGGATTTATGAATGGTCCACCCTTATGATATTTCTGTACATGGCTGGCAGGGGCTTTTTGAATGGCGTGACATTCTTGCTCGTGCAGAGGACGAAAGTCCTGGCTATGTATTGCCAAATAAAATTATTCTTGAGATTGGTAAATGAAATTTATGCACTTTTATATTCTTCTGTTTAAAAATTAGCTCCTTTGTACACCTCACATTAATTTAGTATATGTTTACCCATGTCAAAGCTAAGCAGATGCCAGTCATTACAAGCAATCTACGGCGATTGGTGGGGAAGTCAAAGCTCCCATATGTTGAGCGCAGCCTTGATATCATTGTCAACATTGTCAGACGTTCTATGCAAAATGGTGCTGCCTTTGAAGAAGCTGCACTACGTTTGAAAGAAGAACATGCGGCAAGTGTAAGTAATATGTTTAACAGTTTAGACTTTGCTAGAATGATTGACAGGAGTTTTTGGTGGCATGTCTTGGTGCTTCATAAATCTGAACTATTGCAAGTGATTTATCCTCCGCTTATTCTTTTGATCAAGATGAACTAGGCTAATGTGATTTCCACGTCAATCTGTGGGCTGTAGTCTGTCATCTTACTGTATTTGTATAGTGTTCAACTAAGAAGAGAATGCAAATCTTTAACCATAATCAATAATGTACATCTTTCGAAGTCTGATAAAATCTATGAATGCTGTGTTTTGTTGTTCTAAAATGGATGAAGTTTGCCCACAATAGTCTTAAAAAATTTATCTCACTACACGTCTGATGATGTGATATCAGTAAATTGTGAATGTGCTTTTAATTGAGATAGCTTGGATGCCACTGTGTTTGGGTGTAGGTTTTTTTTTGTGTTCAAGATAATTATTACTAAAATCTTATTGACTTTTTGGGGAACCAAAAAACAAAACTTTTAAAACTGGTTTTAGAATTATTTAAAAATATCTAGACCAAATTTTCTGGAACCTGCTTAGTAAGTATATATTTTAAGATTTTTACTTGGTTTTAAATTCTGGTTTTTATTTGTTGATAAATTGTATGACCATGATACAGATGTCAAATTGTATGTTCATGCATAGCACGATTAAATACATTTAGGACTCATGGATATCAGTTGTGTCAAGGAAGTTGCACTCGATTATTATTAACCTAGGAAATAGTCTTCACCAAGTCTATTATTAAGAGACATGTATATGAATGATATGCAGAACCTGTGTACAACACCATGTTCTCTTGAACAAGAAATCTGTTTTATTCTACAAATATTCTCTAAAAGATTTTGTTCTCTCTCTTCCTCCCTCTAACCCCCCCCCCCCCTCCCTCCCTCCCTGCCTCCCTCCCCAAATTCAACATGGTATTAGAGAGCGGTATCATCCACTGACCTGTCTTTTCAGTTTTGCTGCTAAACTCCTAAAATAAAATATGTAGCCAATTTGTTTTTCTTGAATTTGGGCTTAGGCCTAACTCAACATCAAAAGCTAATTTTTAGGAACAGGATTGAATCAAGTTTTATTAGGAGTATTCTGGCCATATTCAGAGCTGATGGAGACATCTTAACACACTCCTCTCATGTCTACACCTGGACATCTGGTGCAAAATAGGCTTCTTGAATTTGGACTTAGGCATAACTATACCTCAAAACTAGCTTATAGGAGAAGGATTGCTCAAGCCTTATACGGAGCATTCTGGCCATACTTTTTAATATATTCCTACATTTGAGGTTAGTTTGTTCATTCAAAACCCTTCTTCCTTATTTTCTGGTGACATCTCCGACAAACATCCAGCAACTTTTTCCTACTCTACTTCATGTTACAACCACAATTTTAGTTCTGCTGTGAAGTCCTCCTTTCAGCAATCTGAAATGCATCTCCAGCCATCATTTTCAGCTGTTACGGCCACTGTCTGCTGACCTCAAGCAAGTTTCTGGTCAGAGACCCCCAGGATCTTGTGTCACCTTTCTCTATCAGGAACTGGTTTCATTTTTCAGTTCAGCATGCAGTTGGTGTGTCCCTCTGGAAAGCTGCCTTCCAGTCATTTGACTTATCTTCTGACCTGTTTCTGCCGAGCCTGGATCACTGAAGCCTGCTCTCTTCATACATGTCCTTGTTTTACAGTTTTTGGGTCTAGTACTACACCACTGTCTTGCTCAAGTAGCCTCTATTCAATGCTGTTTCTTTGCTACCTGTCACGCCCTATGGATGTTTGGCTCCTCTTTGGGCTTTGTTTTGTTGTCATAGCATAAACGGGGAGAAAGGTTTTGGCTCCGTGGCTTTCCCAAAATGAAATTAGGCTGTGGCTTTTGCAGACACATTAACCCCGATTTATTCCAAACATCAGTAGCGTCAAATCTCTAGGTGTGGATATCTCCAGCTGCATCAATCTCCAGCTTTTGTTAGAGTATTCAGTGGTCCTTTTTTGATCTAATCGTGCCTGTTGTTTCCTTTGCAACCATGTTTGGTGGAGCCCATATTATACGAAAGCATTTGTTTGTGGCAAGCTTAAAGCATGGTCAGCTTAAGCATGAGAGGAAGTATCGGATATAATGATAGTTGATACACATAAGAAGTAGTATGTTCATGTATCATAGGAAAATGTTTGTTTTCTAGTTTGTTATCTATCACAGGATAAAATGCAGCAAGTACTGATGGGTATTAGTGTCCACTGTACAAGTTGCATTCACTCAAAGTTCCTTCTTTAGCTTTAGTAAGACTAGTTACTTCAATGACTTTAAGCAGCTCTCACTTCTCACCCGAGGGTTGCCCTAGACTTTTTGTAAAGGGCCCCAGTCTTCCATTTTTCAGCTGTTAATAAACTCTTGCTCGAGCAACTTTTTCTCCTGGAACGGATAGCTTTCTGTGCAAGTCTATCTCCCAAAAGCCAGCCATGTAATTGAACAACCTTCTAAGCAAAGCACGTAGAGCTTTTTCCTTTTTCACTCTACGTACTTAGCTGGATAAGAAGATTCTCCTTTTATTATGGATTTATAACTTCGAGATCATCTCGTTCTACTTTGGATCGTCTTACCTAGGGGCTATATATGGATAATATGCAAATCCTGTGTATTAGACTACATTCTTTTGAATAGTAACTGTTTTTAATCTCTAAATTCAACACGGAATAGGGAGGGTGCAAATGTTAGTAGCTTTGTGCACCCTCTACAGTGAAGGTTGAAAAACAAAATTGCACCTTTTTCCAATGCTATTCCAACATGGCTTAACCAACACTAAAAAAATAAAGAGAAAAGAAAAATGAAGCTATTCCAGAGTGTAAACTGATTGCCTTTCCTTTTTTACTGTCATTTTCGATTTTAGCATGTTTGGTATCAACTTATTTTAAAGAGAAATAATTGTTTTTATTTTTTCCAAAAATCTCAGAAAGCTGTTAAAAAAATTCCCCCAAAATAAGCCAATCTAAAGATCCACTTTGCCTTCTGGTGAAACCTCAGCTTGTATAACTTCGCCGATGTTGAATTATCTAATGTGGCATGCATGATTACTGTACCCTCTGAATTTTGTATGTTCGAACCATTATTTCTGTGTCTCCTTATTTCAAAACTGCTTGGCGGGATTGGTGAACAGATTATATCTTCCCATTCCATTTTGGGCAACAGTGAGAAGTCAAAACATGCTGTAGAAATTCCAAGTGTAGCATATGAAACATCAGATCCACAGAAACCTGTTTCAGGTTTAGTTTCCACCTCCACCCCAGTTGGGACTGTAACGGTAGATACCGAATCTGATTTGGAGGACATGGTACAGAGTAACCTAGAAAGATCCAACTATCGCCAAGGGGAAAATTCTGTTGTGTCCAGTGTCCACCAGCGGAAAAGAGGGTGAAGATGAGCCATTATCTTGGTCAGCAATGCCATGAAGCTTTCCATTTTGCTTTCAGTCAAACAATCAAAACTATAAAGCCAGAGAAGAATCCAGTGCCGTGCATCTCTTTCAATTTTGAAGTGACAAGGAAACAAGTTTAGCTTTGGAAAAGATGAAAATGCATCTTCTCAGATAGGTGGTACGTGATTCAGTAGCAAAAAGAAAACTTCAACCATCAAACGTTGGGGACAAGTTATTTGAAAAAATGACTGCAACAAGGTAGAGAATGTTAGGTATGTCCAGGTGCGACCTTCTGGTGATAGAATGGAAATAGATTAGACTGACTATGTGCTATGTATAGAATTAGAGACAGCAAGATATTGCATTTCAGTCAGGGAGTATTTGAATCCAAATTGAGCAACTTGAAGATAATCTATGTTCCTTTAGTTGAAATCTATAATCTAAATTTCATTCAAGTTTGATCAAGATACACGTATTTTATTTTTTTTTCACTGAAAGGAAACAAGCTCTTCAAATACGAAAGTTTTGCATGTAATTCAAAAAAGAAATTCTTACGGAAAAATTCATGTTAAAATTTAATTTATATTTTAATAAAAGTTGATTTTGTGCGGAAGAAATTAATGAACAGCTTACTAACTAGCGCAATACGAATTTTACGTTTATCAAATAATTAGAAAATTATTAAAATAGTATTTTAAGAGGATTTGAGTGCGGAATCTTATTTGGGTCAAGTACTATTTTGGTTCTTACGTGAAACTTGCATTTTTTTTATTTAACTTCATATAAAAATGTTTTTAAATAAGTTTTTAAATAAAAATAATTAAAAATGGTCTGAAGTTATGTTTTGTTATAATATTATTATACTATATTTAAACGTTTTTATTACTTTATTCCTTGTATATAATAATTTTTTATTTTAATTTTATACATAATATATTTTGTATAGGAATCAAATTAAAATATGTGATATTTATGGATAACTAGGGCTGACATGAAAAAAAAATATATTATGTATGAATATCAAAATAAGTTGAAAAAATGATATAGTGATTCATGTCACGTTATAAAAAAAATTGATTGCAAAGAATTCAATGTATCTTAATGTGATTACAAAGATTGTCGTAAAAAGACGAAGTTTTAGAATTGAAATTTTTTTTTATACATTAAAAAAGATCAAAAGGAATATGTTCTTTTTTATTTGAAAGAGTAGTAGAAACTCTTTTTTTTTTTTTAAGTTTATTCATTTATCTTATAGTCAAAATCTTTGGTCAAATTTGCTTTAATTTTTTATTTATAATTATTATAAATTACTTATCTTACAGTTAAAACTAAAGTTACAAAAATGGGTTAAAGTCTCACTTTACTTAACCTATCATGTCTATTTTTCTAAAGTCTTATATTTAGTAAATTTATTTTAACCTTAAGTTCCAATATAAAAATAAATGGTGGGCTCGGATCAAGACTAGAGGTAGGTTAGTCTACTTGCATTTAAAAAGAAATTAATAACTATTATATTATTTATTTATTATATTTATTAAATTATTTATTTAAATATAAAAAAATTTCAAAAATAAAATAAATATTTATTCAATATATTAAAATTTTATTATAAAAAATATTATCAAATATAATTGTATTAAAAAAATTATAAAATAAAGTAAAATTTAGCTTTTGCATTTTTAAATTTTTCAATTAAATTAAAAATATTATGTTAATAATTTATGATTTTAATTAAAAATTAATAATAAATATATTTAACTATACAATAATTAAATAAAAAATAATATTTTATGTATATTTATTAGTTTAAAATAATAAACTAATGAAGCAAATAAAATTAAGTATTTTATAATCATTCTATTTCTTAAATTTAATTATTATTAATATTGTCATATTATATATATATATATATATATATATATATATATATATATATATATTACATTGATTTTTTTTGTTTTTAGTAGAGAAAAGTAAAAAATTTAAAAAAATAAAAAATTATAATTTTAAATATGAGACTCTCCTAGTATATGCTTGAATAAGTAATCTTTAGTATGTAGAAAGTTAGACCTAATCTTTGAAACCATAATATGAAAAAGATATCAACTTAACTAAAAAAACTTGCACACACACACACACACACACATATATATATATTGCCTTACACAAGGTGTTTCTAATAGTGATTAGCTAGTCTTTTTTAATCACTTCTTTATATCTGAAATGAGTTTAACGTACTTATAGAAAGGTAGAATAAGAGGTGTTTGATATTTAGATTCTAAGTAATTTTTAACTTTTGAAGCATGACTATGAGTGCAACATGGGTATTGTAAAAAATGCCAATGAATCTAGAAGTTTTTCTAAGCTAATTTTCATTCTTATTTATAATAAGAGCATGAAACTAGCTCTCTTAGGCTCCCTAAACACTCTTATCAACATTAAGGATGAATTTAAAATTTTAATCAGCCTCCCAACAAACCTGTTGCTCTAGGCAAGTCTAAGATTATTGCACTTGTTCATATAAATAAAGCTGGTTGATAAGGTTCATAACATCAAGCATAATTTTATAAATTGAGATATTTATTTTAGCAATGCAATCAACATTCCTAATCCTCCATGCTTACCATAGTGTAGCTAAAAATAAGGGAGCATTACTTTTATATTGAATCATAGTTCAGTTGCTGTAAATTCTTCATTTTATAGACCTATGTGAATCCATATTTTCTTGGTTATTGGACAATCTCTGACACAATAGAGAGTATTCTTAGTGTAAGTGTGACATCTTGAGCAAATGAGTAACAATGCTAAGTTCTTATAATGTCTTAAGTAATTTGTGGAGAGGGCATCACAACAAATAAGCTAAACTATGAATTTAATCTTTTGTGCACAAGGAAAGTGTCAAATTCACCTCCAACTAATACATTGGTATAGCGTTCTCCTACCAATGAGTCAATTAAAAATATATTTAACTATATATATCTTCCCTCCAAACTGCTTGACCAAATAAACTTGTCATCAACATAACTATTAATTGACCAATTAGATTAATGAACGAGTGAAGTAATTGATATTGATATCAAAGTGCCAATTTGAAAAAAAATTCACTCTTGTTAGATCAAAATGTCCTTAACTTGCATCTCTATATCTTGAATGTTGACATAGAAAGTGTGGTTACATAATTTGTTCACTCTCGACCAGTCATGATACTACAAGGAAACTTGCCCATTACCAAGTCAAAAAATAAACCTATTTATTTTTATTTTTAGCCTTTTTAATTGCTTGCTAAGAGTGAGACTCTTCATCTTTATAACGATCTAACAAATTATTTTCCTCTACACGTTTTTCTACAAGTAGTTGGACCTAGAGTTTGGCTGTTTTGTTCATCATATCACTAACTTTTTTACCTAGCAAAGCTATATTAGCTTCCTTAGTTGTTCTTAGATCAAGACCTACCCATCTTGGGTCTTCCAAGTGATTGTGTCCCAGTTTATCATTTTAATTCTCTTTCTATCATTATTTTTCAAAAAAAAAAATCACACACATGCGTATCAATTGAATAGTAAACAAATTAAAGCAGTCAATACACTTGTATGTAGTATGTTGGGATCACGGTGATAATTGCTTAGCTAGAGTTAAATGTCTCATTTTATTAAGGAAATTAAACTTTCAATTAGGAAGTCTATGTTGAATTTTGTCCATAATGAAGTCAAAGTCTTTTGCTTTCACTCTACTTACATAATTGAAAAGCTCGAATACTTATTAAGGAAAAAAGTAAAATAAATACCTAAGATATAGGTGAACTTAGCTTGTTTTCGCTCATTGATATGGTCGAAGCATAACCTCGAGTTTTCACAAAGCAAAAAGATTACATAAAATGTGCAAATTATCCACCATAACCCTAACTATGGATTTAACTATTCATGATAAAATAGGTAAAGAAAACAAGTATAAATAAACTCATTCATTCAAAAAGGAAACACAAATTAGAAAAATCCAAAGAAAAAGAGATGAAAAGAGTTTTTGTTCTCGAAACACACTATTCATCACTCGCTCAAGCTTCGAAAATGTATTCTTCATCTTCATCATCTTCACCATTGATCTCTACTCTCAAGTGCCTCCAATAGTTGTCAAAAGTTGGCTAGAAAAAATTGTTTGTATCAATGTGTAAGGCCATTTATAAATGGTGTAGAATCCAAGAAAAGATAATGATTTGGCCTCCAAAAGATATATTTTTATCTCTAACAAAGACATGATTTATCAATAGAGGAAAAATATGATTTTCTGTTGTAAAATTTAAAGTTCAAATTCCTTCTCACAGACTCCTTGAAAATTTATAAATCAGTTATATCAGAAAAAAGAGCATAATCGTGCATGATCACAGAACACTTATAGGTTAGTTGTTAAACAAGGTTGTACTTTTTATTGTGTGTAGCCTTGCTGTCTTTCAATTGTGACCAAACTACTTTTCTAACTCACTTGTTATCAATTCATGCTAAACTACAATAATTAATCATCAAATTAGTGCAAAATCATCATCAAATAAAGGTCAAACATAACAAAATATGTCATAAATATATCTCAAAATATAGACTTATCATATAACTTACCCTTAAGAGAAAATATCTCTCACCAGAGGAGAAGATATCACCTATAGACTTCAAATAACAACTGCTAAAGTTTTTCTATAAAAAAGTAATTGAATTATATCTATACTTGATAAATGGCTTATTAACATGAAAAATGTTAAAGTTCATGAAACAATGATGAATATAAAATTATTAAAAAATATTATTTATATAAATATTGAATATATGACATATGTTTATTAGATATGGTAAAATGAGTTATTCGACTTAATTCAAGTTCTATTATATTAAGTATACAATTTATTTTTTTTATTTTAAACACAAAATATAATTCTAATCTTGATTGAAATATGTATTTTATATTTAAATATGTCAAGTTAATCTAAATTTAAACAAAGAAAATTTTGAACAATTGAATCAAACAAGCCCAAGATTAATTTATGCTAAAATTTTGGATTTAAATTTAATGTTTTAATTGACTTAATCAATCTAGTTTGATCAAATCTTTTAATTTATAAACACTAATGACTATTATTTTTTAGGATTATAGAATTTTTGCTATTAATGTATATCTCATGTTGTATATTTTTTTATTAGTTTTCAATAAATTATAAAAATCATCTTTTAATTGTTTATGGTATTTTAATACAATTAAAGTAAGTTATTTCATAATTTTTTTCTTATGTGAATACTACTTTTTAGGACAAGTATAAAATTTAAAAGTGGTATTTTTTTTATTTTTTATTTTGCTACTAAGATGAATTATAAATTGTATTTTTAAATTGTAGAATATATTTTTATATATAAATTATACATGATAAGACCAAATTTAGTTTTTGATAGTAAGAATTTTGATTTTTGAAATATATATTGATACTAAACTAAAGCCCTTATACATGATAGAAGT